ATGCAGTTATCTTTGTGTGTGATAGCACCACCTCCAGCTCCTTTAAACTGACTCTTCTCAGAATTTCAGCTGGCATACACTTTTTCTCATTCCGGCTTGCATAAGTAGGCCGGACGTTCTCTGATACTTCCTCCGTATCAACTGAGGAGTTAAGAGTCTTAAAGTATTTCGAGCATAGCTCGAATAACTCTGGGTGAGTACAACCTTCGACCTTCTCCAACACGGGGACTTGGTAGGTCCGATGTTCAGGAGGGATAAGGTTGATGATTATGATCCCCTCATTTTTGTATTCTTGTATCAGATCCTTCATTGGCCAACAATCTCCCAGCCCATGGGTACGGGAACAATGGTATTGACAGTAAGGGCTCCTTTTAAGGGAGGCCTTCTTTTTGATGTCTTCCACTTTTTTGTTGGGGGAATAAGTCCTATAATGAGGAGATTCCTATATATGGCCGGTACCATGGCTTTATCAAAGTCATAGGGCCCTTGATATAGGAGGTTCTTAGCTATCGGTTAGGGTCTGGCTTCGTCCATCACGAAAGAAACCATGTTGGCCATCACAGTCTCGGTCTCTGGTGTTTCATGCTCAGCACACTTGAGCTTTCTGTCCTTGATGAGGCCTTTGATGATATCCTTTAAGGGATAATAATATTTTATCACATGTCCTCGCATCTGATGGTATGGGTAATGGTCAGTTTGATCTGTTTGACCAACCTGCTTGGGATATCTTGTCATAGGAGGCGTAATTGTCCCAGCCGCTAGGAGATTTTTGAAGACCTTGGGAACCTGGTATTTATCGAAGGAATACTCCTTGTCAATACATCTGCGGTATCCACCTCTTCCTCGTCCACATCCCGATGGTTGTGGAGAATCATAAGTTTTGGGCGGTGTATAATTCCTTCCTCTACCTATTGAGTGACCACCGAAGTAGTCATGGAAGTTTTAAATTAAGCAACCTTAGCTTTAGCTTTAGCTTTATCTGCATCCCTCCTAATGGTTATTGGCTTCGGGCTTAGGCTAAAACCCTCCATAAGACTTTCTAGGTTAACTGCATTAGTTACCAAGTCATTGAAGTTCTCGGATTTGGAAGAGAGAAGGTGTACTACAATGTCGGATCTCATGTTTTTGATACACATGAGCACCTCTTGATCCTCAGGGAGTGCGGTTGCTTGCCCTATGCTCATATTTCACCACCGAGTGATATACTCTTGCATAGGTTCATGATCCCTTTGCTCCACATTGAGGAGTTCAGCCAAGTGGACCACCCTTTCTGTGTTGTGAAACCTTGCTAAGAATGCTTCTTACATTTGCTTCCATGTAAATATGGTCTTAGGTATCAAGCTTTCATGATAGTGACTATACAAACTGTCGCATCAGGAGGTTCTCGTTACTGCATCAGGAGGTCCTCGAAATATGGAGTGATCGTAGTTTCTCCATCACCAACTTTCGCACTGTCTCCTCCGTTAAGGCAGCACTGGTTGGAGATTGAAGCGATGTAAGTGTAGGGGCTGATTGGTTCTCCATGGCTGGATTCGAGGACTGCTGTCATGAAGGGCCGCAGGAATTAGGAGTCTCTCTAGCGGCTCTCAATGCCTCGAGCTCATCTGTTGGCTCTCGGAACTCTACTTCTTTTCGGGCCAACATTGCCCTTAGGCGCTCCATTTCTTCAGTTTCAGGTGCGTCGCTCCCCGCTCCCATCCTCAGCACGCTCACGATAGGGTCTTGTTCGAATGGTGCAGTGGACTCATTATCCAAGCCTGGTGTGGAGAATTTGAAAGGGAAAGACAATGGAGGTACAAGGGGATCCTTCAGTATCGACCCCGCCCCTTGTCCCCTGATATTCAAGTTGGAGGGCAGCAGAGTGCGGGTCCATGAACCCAAGGTAGTGAATGCCACTCAGGTCGGAGTGCGCTCATCGCTTTTAGAGAAGCGGTAAACAAAGCAAACCACGAGAAAAAGAAAACTCTAAACACAACCATACAAGAAACTAAACTGAAACTTATATTTATACATATTCAAACTTAAAGTATTACAATTATCTGAGGCACCAAAGGCCCAATTACAAAAATACATAGTTCCAACATAAATAAGAACATGGCCCACGACCAATCAAACAATACAATCAAAGGTCTTCTAGGCAGGTGCAGCTCCTCAGAGCTACCAAAATGCTCACCCAACCAGTTGTCCTTGACCAGTAGCTGCGACTCTACAAGAATGGAAAGTAAAGGAATGAGATATAAAGTCCAATAAGTAGAATCAGATGTCATGTTCCACTAATATATCTAGCAAGGAGTCATGAGTAATTATTTTCGAAGATAATTAATAATAATAACACAGACGTCATTTAAAACACCAATCTATCAGATCTCATCAGCACAAGTATCATAGCGAATCACAAAACTATAAATCTGAACCAATGCTATTGTGTTTTAACATCAACATCAACATGTATATTAACTAACTCACTCTCTAGGTCACCTACTCCCGAAGTAGAGGGCCTATTCATTAGGCCAAGCCAATCTCATTGCTTACGACCTCTACCATCACTCTGGAGGGAAGACAATGACAAGTGGGTATCCTACTTCGTAATGTCTTCACACACACACACACACACAATCCCCAGCACTCTTTGGGGTTTTTGATAGGTGATGGCCTTGCAAGACACTACTCCCTACACCACCTTGGCTAGGAACATCATGCCATCAAGGTGCCAATCACTATGAATGGAGGAGCGGCCACTCAAACATCATCTATCCCAACTCTCGTCCTACCATTGGGCGAGCCTAGGAGATCACAAGTAAGCAATACAATACGCTCAAAGCATGCCCACCAGTCTTATATTACAGTATGATCATGCAATACACTCAAAGCATGTCAATCAGTCACATATCACAGTATAATGATGCAATATGCTCAAAGCATGCCAATCAGTCACATATCACGGTATGGTCATGCAATACGCTCAAAACATGTCAATCAGACACATATCACAGTATGGTCATGCAATACGCTCAAAGCATTCCAATCAATCACATATCACAGTATGGTCATGCAATACGCTCAAAGCATGCCAATCAATCACATATCATAATATGGTCATGCAATATGCTCAAAGCATGCCAATCTGTCACATATCACAATATGGTCATGCAATACGTTCAAAGCATGACAATCAGTCACATATCACAGTATGGTCATGCAATACACTCAAAGCATGCCAATTAATCACATATCACAATATCACATATCACAGTATCACGGTACATAGTTGACCACAGGGGTCCATTCACATATCACATAGGGCATGTCACAGCTGGACATGTATCATAATATTCACACATATCCGAGTAGTGCAAGTCCTGGAATCATACTTATTTGGAATTACATGGCACTGCACTTATCACATGCATCTCATACACTTATCACAAGAATTTATCGCATACACTTATCACAAGCACTTATCACATACACTTATCACAAGCACTTATCTCATACACTTATCACAAGCACTTATCTCGTACACTTATCACAAGCATTTGTCTCATACACTTATCACAAGAATTTATCTTATACACTTATCACAAGCACTTATCACATACACTTATCACAAGCGCTTATCTCATACACATATCACAAGCACTTATCTCATACACTTATCACAAGCACTTATCACATACACTTATCACAAGCATTTATCTCATACACTTATCACAAGCACTTATCTCATACACTTATCACAAGCACTTATCTCCTACACTTATCACAAACACTAATCTCATACACTTATCACAAGCATTTATCTCATAGACTTATCACAAGAATTTGTCTCTTACACTTATCACAAGCATTTATCTCATACACTAATCACAAGCACTTATCACATACACTTATCACAAGCACTTTTCTCATACACTTATCACAAACACTTATCTCATACACTTATGACAAGCACTTGTCTCATGTATGCTTTTACTTATTCATTAGCATTCATTGATCTTTGCATTGATAACTAGTTTGAGCTAAAATTCAAGGGCATTTTAGTCATCTGACATATTATTACAAAAAAGTAAAAGGTCCTGGAATTTCTTGCATTCTTAACAGTGACATTGCCCTAGAAAAAATGGATATAATTTCCAAACCGTAGAGAATTTTGGTGTGCTTCCAAAGCAAATTTTACACTAGGCGTATGTATCTTTCAAATGGGGTGGTTTGAAAGCATTTGAACTCGATTTGTTCAACCAAAACTCATGGCAACAGAGAACAATTTCTGTATTTTGCTAAATTCTGCCAATAGTGACATACCGTCGCCATTTAGATCGTAGCCTTCTAATTTCACAAAATTTGAACTGGATTAAAACATCAAAATCATAAAAATCTCATATATGTCTCAAATGGAAGTAATTTGGTGTCATTTGATAGGTCAACAGAGGGAGACAAAAACATCAAACCTTCCTGGAATTTCATTGCACAGCCATGGCATACTACAAAGATTACTTCATAGCTTTAAATCTATACTAGATAACAACATGAAACATTTTCTATCTCACACTATCCTCACATGAACATCATTTCACCAATTTTCATGCTCAACAAGAGTGATAGCAGTGTCTAGCATATCATACAAAGAAAGCCTAAATTCTGGAAAATTGAACACATAACATACATGCAATCCTATTTCATTCATGCTTAAACTCCTACTTCATTCATGCCAAAATTCATTCTTTCACACCATGGATACATAGCATCATGACCCACTTACCTTGTGTGCGTAATGGTGTTCACACAATCCCTCACACAGTCACTTCCACCTCACTCCAAGTTCACCCACCAAGCTTCCTCCAAAGGCCAAACTCCAAATCTCAAGTTCTAAGTGTTGGGCTCTAGAGAGAGAGAGAGTGAGAGAATTAATGGCGTGGGAAGGAGGGAGAGAGCTTAAATACTTTCTAGTTGGAGGTGGCAATTCCAAGGTTGACAAGTGGCAAACCTCATATATGCAATAGGACAAGTGGCATGTGTGTCAACATGCATTTGGCAAGTGGCAGTCTTGTTCATGCATGGCGATGACACAAAAGGCGATGGCAATGGAACAAAAGGTGATGGCAATGACATAAAAGGTGATGGCGATTACACAAGAGGTGATGACACAAAAGGTGATGGCGATGGCACAAAACGCGATGGCAATAGCACAAAAGGTGATGGCGATGACACAAAAGGCGATGGCGATGGCACAAAAGGTGATGGTGATGACACAAAAGGCGACGGTGATGGCGATGATACAAGGAGAGATGACACAAAAGGCAACGACAATGGCACAAAAGGCGATGGGGATGTCACAAGAAGCGATGACACAAAAGGCGATGGCGATGGCACAAAAGGCGATGGCGATGACACAAGAGGAGATGACACGAAAGGCAATGGTGATGGCACAAAAGGCGATGGCGATGGCGCAAAAGGCGATGGCGATGACATAAGAGGCGATGACACAACAGGTGATGGCAATGACATAAGAAGCGATGACATAAATGGCGATGGCGATGGCACAAAAGGCGATGGCAATGGCACAAAAGTCGATGGCGATGACACAAGAGGCGATGACACAAAAGGCGATGGCGATGACACTAGAGGCAATGACACAAAAGGCGATGGCGATGGCACAAAAGGCGGTGGCGATGACACTTCTCTTCTCCTCTTTTGTTGGCTCTGTATTGCCATAGAAGCCCCTCCAGCTGGGAAAGGTTTCGATCCTTACATTTCGCGCCTTGGAGACACTGCATGTGATTTGTGGATTTTCAATGGCTAGATGATGCCTTGCCTTCTTTGTAAGATTTCTAGTAGGTGGGAGATTCTCATTAGACGAGAGGTACGAGACATTATCAAAACCCATGGTGATCTTACCCCTCGGGATTTCCTTTTTTCCATTGAGCGTTTGAGTGGTTGCCCTGATCATGTTACATGGCCATACCTCGAGAAACTTGTCTTCTAGGTCATACGAGATCTCCTTCCAGATTGATCCCGATCTACGGCCTCGTTGTGGTAGTATATGACACTAATCTGTTCGAATGGCTTCCCTTGCTTTGTCCAAGATATACTGAGTAGGAACTCTATGCGCATGCTTGATAACTATCTTAACATGCGCCTTATGGACTTGTGTGTACTTTTTGAACTCCGCCTTGGGAACTCGGGTAGGCTTGTAATTGCCTTGCCTCAAATCCTGTTCTATTGCGGTGATCTGTGAATGAATAATACGAGATGATCTTGGTGGCTCATCTTTGTGAGAACTCATGGCTGCTGGTCGATGAGTATCACACGGATTGAGCAAACCTGCATCATAAGAATGTCTGACCGTCGGCATTTGGGCTACATACAGTGATCTCGACAGGTTTGCATCACGAGGATTCCTAACTGCTAGTTGATGGGTGTCGCATGAGTTGGACGAGTTAGCACCATAGAAATGTTAAACTATCGGCATTTGGGCTGCATACAATGATCTAGGCAAGTTAGCATCGTGAGGATTCCTAATCGCCAGCCGATAGGTGTCGTGTGAGTTGGAAGAGTTAGCACCATAGGAATGTTTACCTGCCTGCATCTGAGCATTCTTAACAATTGAGCGTGAAGCTCATATGATCAAAGGCAAAAAACGGGAGCTCTAGGGCATAGACATGAGGTGCCTCGACGGCTCAGATAGTGACTTAGCCTTTACAAAAATAGCTCGGTCACTCTTCTTTAGCGCTGTGACAGATTGGTTCGCAGACCGCAATGGACTTTCTTCACTTGGGATATTGTAAGTGATGGCGTCGCTGTCGAGCTTTGCTTGCAAACGTTGGTTGGGGTAAGTCAAAATCATCCTCAAAGGTCTGTTGCCCAGTAAATATGATTGATATTGATTGGAAGGAATGTGATATGAAGGCATGAGCCACTATTTGTTTATGATTGGCGAATGAAATGTTGTATAATATTATTTGGGAAGAAATGGCAAAAGATTTGTGGTAAAAATTATAAAGTTTTTATCAAAAAATTCTCTCACAAACTAAAATTTCTTAAAAAGAAAACTGTATACCTTGATAATGAAAGAGGATGCAAAACTGTTCGAACACTTGAATGAAATTAATAATATCATTTGTCAACTTGAAAGTATTGGTGTGAGATGGAGAATGAAGATAAAGTTGTCAACTTACTTTGTACAGTGTTGGAATCTTATGACAACATTGTTACTATATTGAGTTGTAGTAAATAAGATTATCATGATTTGGGCTTATTGTGTAGTGCTCTCCTTGTCGGTGAACTTCGAAAGAAGGCATCTTTCGAAAGTTATGTGGAATAAAAGACATAAGCTCTTGTGGAAAGAGGTTGATCAAATGAACGAGGTGATTCATCGAGGAATCAATCAAGAAGTAATTCAAAACGTCGATAATAACCAAGAAAGCTTAATAATAAAAATGTGTGTTGGTACTGTGGGGAGCTTGTGCGTATAAAGAATATTTGTTCTAAACTGTGCTGTTATATTTGCTTCTCTTTGAGCGAAACACCCAAAGTCTTTGGATTTACCTAACGACTGAGGCGAGGCGAACAACTACCATGTTTTCGAACTACCTTTCGCTATTCAAATTTCTAAACGCTATTCAAAAACAAAATTGCGGTCTGCGCAAAGAGAGAGCACTAGCCCCAAATCCAACTAATTTGAGGGGCGTGTTATATTCTTCATTACCCACGTGGCCCCATCCCTCATCAACAAGTACCACTTGCCAATCTCTTTTGTTTTTATAAAATCCCACAACTATCCCACTTTTATTGAAATAAAATTATCATCCACTTTATATGAAAGGTTTGTTATGTCCTTAAGTGATAAAATAATTGAATGTCTTTTATTTTTATTTCCAAATTTTTTAAAATGTTTATATTTATTTTCATTTTATTTTATATAGTAAACCTATACTTTATTTATATTGAATTAAAAAAAAATGAAATATTCTCCCAAATTGGGCATAATATATTTTTATATAAATACTTTATTTATATTCAATTTTTTAAAAAAAAAAACCAAAGTCTTCCCCTGAATTGTCCGAAGCACCGAATTGCTTCATTTTTTTTTATCAAACCGAAGAAGGTCCGAAGCGAATCTGACAACATTACAAGAAACTGGATGAACTCTTCCAAAAATCTTAATGCGGGAGGTGAAAGGAAAAGTGAATATAAGAATGAAGCAAATCAAGTTGAAGAGTCAACATTCGAATTCTTTGAAGATGAAGTATTGATGGTAGCATATAATTCTCTATTATATAAAAATTAGATACTTAATAGTGGAGCTGCCCATCACATATTCCCACATAGATCATGGTTTGACTCATTGGTCGCTTCGAAATGTGGATGCGTTAAAAGAAATGCAGAATGTTTAGACTAACATTAGGCTCCAGATTGAAAACTAGAGGATATCACATTCGAGGCCAAATTCACTCGTGCGCTTCATATTAGAAATACACGCTTTATAATTTATATTGGGTACTGAGCACTTTCAGAGGTTTAATCTTCTTTTACATTTACATTGACTTTGAAGAATTAAAAATAAGCCGAACACCTTTGATTCTGACTTTAAAACCTATATATCTGTTTCTAAAGAAGAAAATAAAGACATGTTAAAGGGAAAATATAACTTCGAGGTCATATTGGCCCATATATGTAAGCAAGGACGTGTTATCCTTCAAGTCTGGTCTTCAAAAGGGAATGGGTCTCAAGTGAATCATAGGAGACGATTATCTCTCTCCTCACGTCTTGAATACTACTCTCTTCTCTACTCTTGATTGTTGCTGAGGAACAACCTCTAACGAATGCTTTATCTCTCTACTAAATTGTCTCTCAAAAGTGTGATCTCCCCTTCATTCGAGGGATATCCACACACTTATTGTCTTCAGATCTTCACCCTCTATCTTCGCTTGAGTTTATCTACTCAGTTGAATCACAAATCTTGCAGGGCGTGATCATTTTCTTCATAACGCGGTTTACCTTTTGTGTTTATCTTCTCATGGTGTTGATCATTCTGCTAAGTTATCCTTGCAGATGAAATTGCTGACGCTTCTCGAACCTTCGAACCCCATGATTTCGCAGGAGCAGAATAAGAGATTCATCATTATCGTCAATGTTGATGTTAGTGGGTTGTAGCCACTTTCGTTGTTCAACTCAATCCCTGCCAACCTTTTAAGGGTAATTAAGTAAGGAGCTTAGAGTTCAATGGTGCTGATTAAACGAGAGAATTCTTTGTTCTTGAAGAAATAATTCCTCTTTTGCAAAAACCTATTGGCCATACAATCCATAAAGCTTTTAAGGATTTAACTTTCAGATAATGATACTAATGATGGGTTAAGCCATCATCAGATAGTTCAAGACTGTTGTTGAAATTGAGATGCGTTAAGCCATCTCAGGGTAGCTTTTAGACTGTCGTCGAAACTAAGATGGGTCAAGCCATCTCTGAGCAACTTTTAGACTACCATTGATAATGAGATGGGTTAAGCCATTTCTAGGCAGCTCTAGACTGCCGTTGAAACTGAAATGGGTTAGGTCATCTCTGAGCAGCTTTAGTCTGCCGTTGAAACTAAGATGGGTTAAGCCATCTCTGGCTAGCTCTAGATTGCTATTGAGGCAGAAACTTTAGACTAACATTGAAACTAAGATGGGTTAAGTCATCACTGGGCAGCAGCTTTAGACTGCCGTTGAGATTGCGATCGGTTAAGGCATCTCTAGGCAGCTTTAGACTGCCGTTGAGACTGAGATGGATTAGGCCATCACTGGGCCGCTTTAGATTGTCGTTGAAATTGAGATGGATTAAACCAGCTCTAGGTGGCTTTAGACTGTTGATGAAACTAAGATGTGTTAAGCCATCTTTGGGCAGCTTTAGACTTCCGTTGAAACTGAGATGGGTTAAGCCATCTTTGAGCAACTTAAGATTGCCGATGAAAACAATCCTTGGCCTATTCTTGAAATCCATAGACTAAGTCATGCTTTGATCGTAATCAAATAGGGCACACTTGAATGACGAGAACCATAGTCATCCTGTGTAGGCTCACTACATATCTCCAAGTGGTTTTATTCTTAGTCTTTCATCATGACTAAGTTTTCATACTTTCCAAAGGTAAAGTATGAGTCATTAATAGCTCGACTATTTGGTATTGTATGTGATAAAAGTACAGCCAACACTCATATGAGTCACTTGAAGGGGATCGGTATCTTAATGGGTAATAACTAAACTACTAGAGTGGTTGGAATAGGTTCAGTTTTCCTATGAATGTTTGACGGAACAATTCGGGCAATTAAGGATGTTAGGCATGAGCCAGAAGTAAGAAAGAGGTTGACTTCCCTCTCTTCTTTAGATTCTGAATGTTACAAATTCACTAGTCAAGGTGGAGTAATTAAAGTATAAAAAAGGGCTCTAATTGTGATGAAAGGAGACTGAGTTGGGAACTTGTACAAGTTGTTCGAAAGCACAATAGTAAGTGATGAGGTGAATTCAGTAGTAGAAGGTGACGAACTTTCATTTCGCCTATGGCATAGAAGATTGAGATATATGATCGATATGGTTATGAAGGTCTTAATGAAGAAAAATTTTATTCTTACACTTATGTTTGATGGATTTGAATTTTGCGAGCATTGTGTCTATGGAAAACAACTTAGACAGCCTTAAAAGAAACAACATAGACAAACCTTCAAGGTTGAAAGGTATACAAGTGAATGCAAACTTAATTATATGCACTCGGATGTATGGGGCCCTTCACTGACTACATTTTAAGGAGGTGCATTATATTTTGTATCATTTTATTAATGATTTCTCAAGAAAGGTATGGATCAAAACTCTCAAGTACAAAAGTGATGTATATTGTTCATTCAAAAATTTTAAAACCGAATTGAAAAATCTATGGGGCATCACATCAAAATTCTTCAAATGGATAATGGTGGAGAGTTTGTATCAAAGGAGTTCGAAATTTTTTTTTCAAGGCCAAGGGAGTTATTAGGCATTACCCAAATACCTAGAATCCTCAACAAAAAGGATAGCATCGAGAGGATGAGTTGCACTTTGATGGGGCATGCGTGGTGCATATTAAATAATGTCGGTCTAGAACAAGAATTATGGGTAAAAGCCATATCAATGGCTTGTTATCTTATTAACTTGTCGTCTTCAATTCCATTGGGAATCAATAATCCTAATGAGTTATGGTATGGAACTGTTAGTGATTACTCCAGTTTAAAATTTTTGGTTGTATTGCTCATGTACTTATTCCAAGTTGCCAAAGGAATAAGTTGGATTCAAAGTCAAAAAAGTGCAATGCTATGAGTTACAACAAGGGTGTGAAGGAATACTGTTATAACATCCAAGTACCCAAAAAATAAGCACTAGTCATGATGTATATTTCGACGAGTCCAAGGTATTGAAAAAGATAGACAATGATAAAGTAATGTAACAAGAGAGCCAATAGTTTGAATGCAACCTTAAAATACTTGTATCAAGTGCAACTATGCCTTATGAGAATGTACCCATTGATCATGGTGAGGAATATGAAGAACCGGAAGATCAAGATGAAGAATCACATCGCCATCAAAATGAAGTTGTGCCTTTGGCATCTAGGCTCTCTATTAGAGAAACTCGTACACCCAAGTGGCATAAAGAATATATGAATCCAATTACTTTGCATGCTTTGATAGTTGAAAATGAAGAGTCAACGTCATTTCGTGAAGTCATTGAAAATAATGATACAGGGCATTGGAAAAGAGTGACGGAGAAGAGATATTGGCCCTTCAAAGAAACAAGACTTGGGATTTGGTATAGCTACTAAGATATAGAAAGGCGGTTGGTTGTAAATGGGTGTTTAAAATAGAAATGGGGCTGATGGAAGGCTTAAAAAGTATTGGGCAAGATTGGTGGCAAAGGATTTTTTACAAAGGCAAGGCATTGACTTTGA